TGCCTCGTTTATAATGGGGTTTCATGTTTTTGAATCATTGCTCCGTCCTGACAGGGCATCACAGTATGTTAAGGGGTGTAACATTTCCGTCACACGCTTGAGGTATTCGGCCAATCATAACGCACTGGATAGCTGGCCAATCACAGCACACCTCGCTTTTTCAGACCGATGAGCTTTGTAAAAATCAACGCATTTCAGAAAGGCGGGGCATAGAGGAGAAACAATAATGTACAGTATGTGGAAAATAATGTGTTTTTTGAACCTTAAACCGCATAAACACATTTCATTACACCAAATACACAAAATAATGTTCTTTTTAGCAACATCATATGACCCCTTTAACACTGCACTGTGCTTACATACAGGTAAATAAAAACTAAAATAATGATTAAATTAGATTAAAATGACCTAAAAGCTAAATAAAAACTGTATTGTACTTAAATGTAAAAAATAAATAAAGATTAAATTGAAATGTGTTGTGCTTTAACATTAATTTATATTTAATTTAGGGACTCCTCTGCATACCAGTAGAGGAAGCCTGAGTACAACTAGTGATACTCGTACCACACTTTGAGAACCACTGATCTAAATAATAATAATAATAATAAATAGATATATTGATAGAATTTGTATTGGTTTGTTTATAACCAATATAATTTTAATATTACAATATATATGTAAAATAATTATAAATCTGACCTATAATATAATAATAAATAGTCAACTTTATTTATACAGCACTTTATATAAAATACATTTTCAAAGCAGCTTCATAGTAATAAAGAAAAATAACGGAATCAATGATGCAAACTTTGTCAGATATGACAAATAATTATAAATCTGACCAATGTAATATAATTTATATTATATTGGTTATAAACAAAACAAATAAGTTTATATTAATTTGTGTTTTAGGCATTGCATTATATGACAATAAATAAAAATAATTTTAAACCTGACCTATTCTAATGTAATATAATGCCTAAAACACAATTTGATATAAATGTATTTGTTTTGTTTAGAACTAATATAAAATCAATTAAATGACAAATAAATAAATACATACATACATGCATGTATAATAAGCCTGACCTATAATACCTTAACAGAAAAATACGTATTTATTGCTTTGGTTATAACTAATTTAATATAACTTGTATGAAAATGATATATATATATATATATATAAAAGATACATTTTCATCACAGTCTGAGGATTGTTATGACTTGTTATCAGGTGGTTGATGCCCGAGGGGGACCCAGTCTGAAAACTACAGTGAAGTCCAAGAAGGTCAAATCTCTGTCCAGACGAGTCGGACCAAACCAGCTCAGCAGAGTTCAGAAGGAACTGAAGAGACACAGTGAGCACACAATCACATATTTCAATTACAAAACAACATGAAATGCTTTTTAACAATCTTTATTCAATAATCTTTCACATAATTTGCTAAAATGTCTTCATTACCAGATTCAGATGCTCACAGCACCACCTCCAGTGCCAGCCCCGCCCAGTCGCCCAGCTACAGTAACCAATCAGATGAAGGCTCTGACTCGGAGTTGACTCCTGGCTCCGCCCGCTCTCCAGTCTTTTCCTTCTTGGACCTGACATACTGGAAAAGGTATTTATTTAGCAGAATCAGCCTGATTTATGAGTTTGACCTTATATTTTACATGATAATGAACACTTTTTTTAAATGAAACAAGTTCATGTACAAATCTCTCTAGGCAGCGGGTATGTTGTGGCATCATCTACAAAGGTCGCTTTGGGGAGGTTTTGATCGACCCTCATCTCTACAAGCCCTGCTGTCAGAAAAAACAGGTGCAAGAGCAGGAGGAAGAAGAGGAAGAAGAGGAAGATGGCGACCTTGAGAAAGAGGAGGTGCAGAGCAGTCAAGAAATTCTTCAACCACACTCCTCTCCCCAAATGAAAATGGAGCAGGAAGTGGAAGAGGAATGGTGATGCAACATTCCCAGGGTACTGACTTGGCGTTCTTAGGAAGCCTTCGAGAGTCGAAGCCCCTCAGACACTCTCAAAGACGTTCTCTCAGATTGCCTTCGATTCAAGAGCAGCTGGATCCTTGTTTGTCTTTTCCTGTTTCTTTCTTCCTTGTTGAGAATGTGTCTCTTTCATTTGCAACTTTTCCAGAGCCTGGTACCACGCTAGTCTATTTCCTACGAGGATTTTTTTGTAGACCAGAGAAAATTAGTTTCCTTTTTTGCTATCCCGCTCAAACACAGAATGCTGGATCTACATACATCATGCATAGAAATGTAGGGAATAGCCTTGGACAGTGAGCACAATCCTACGCTGTCGCTTTTGTGCCCTTTGAGCACCATTGTGCACTTCCTCTGGGGTGACTGTCTTTCTGCACTTAGTGTACAGAATTTAGTATACAGCAAGCAGCATCTGCTAAATTCTAGCTCAGTGAAGATAACGTTCCACCTTTTTGCTGGGATATAGCAATTATTTAGGGAATATCTTTTGCCTTTTATATATTTATTTTTTTCTGTCTTTGTCTTTATTCTTAAAGGGATAGTTCACCCAAACATGAAAATTCTGTCATTAATTACTCACCCTCATGTCGTTCCAAACACGTAAGACCTCCGTTCATCTTCGGAACACAAATGTTGATGAATTCTGAGAGCTCTCTGACCCTCCCATAGACAGCAAGGGTACTACCACGATCAACGTCCAGAGACGTAGCAAGGAGATCGGTAAAATAATCCATGTTACATCAGGGGTTCAGCCGATATATTACGAAGCTACGAGAATACCTTTTGTGCGCAAAAGAAAAAAAATAACGACTTTATTCAACAATTTGTCTCCTCTGCGTCACCCTAGTGCCATTTTGGAGAGTATCCACTGAACGCAAACATGCGTTGGTCTGTGTCAGCCGCACCACACGGATACGTTGTTTTCGTTCAAATCAAAGCACAAACAACGTAGAAAACGTATCCGTGTGGTGCGGCTGACAC